TACAGCAGGGCACCATGATTACTATAGGGAACACTGCACCAGAATACTGCTCTGCAGAGTGGTTACCTTCACAAGAAGAAGGATCTCAGACAAAACAAACTCTAGTGTGGCACACTGTAGTGTGCCAGCCAAACCTGAGTGTTTTTTTTTTTGTTTGTTTGTTTTGTTTTGGTTTTCATTTAAATTTTAAAAAATAGAGTATGGAACAGAAACCTGGTTGTCCTGTGAAACCTCAGAAGATTCAGATGGAGGAAGGAATAGCTTAGGGAAGCTGTGTATGTGAGTGCTTTTCTTTCCCCAGTGGAACAAGGGTAAAAATCTTCATGCTTTGGAACCTGATTTCTCCTGTTCATTTAGGTTTTTTCATTTTCATTTTAATTTTTTAGAGCTTTATTTTTTTAAAGATTTTATTTATTTATTTTTAGAGAGGGAAGGGAGGGAGAAAGAGCGAGAGAGAGAAACATCCATGTGTGGTTGCTGGGGGCCATGGCCTGCAACCCAGGTATGTGCCCTGACTGGGAATCGAACCTGCGGTGCTTTGGTTCGCAGCCCACGCTCAATCCACTGAGCTACGCCAGCCAGGACAGGTTTTTTTAAATTTTCTAATTAATTATTTTTATTTAATTTTTAAGTTATAATTGACATTCAGTATTATGTTAGTTTTAGGTGTACAGCATAGTGATTAGACGTTATATAACTTACGAAGTGACTCCCCCCAAAAGTCTAGTACCCATCTGGCATCAATACTGACTTTACTTTTCTATGCTGTACTTTACATCCCCATGACTGTTTTGTAGCTGCCCGTTTGTACCTCTAAATCCCTTTACTTTTCTCACCCAGACTCCTAATCCCCTGTCCCCTATGGCAGCATGCAGTGTGATCTTTGTACCCATGAGTTTATTCTGTTTTGTTTATTTTGTTTTTAGATTCCACATGTAAGTGAAATTATATGATATTTGTCTTTCTCTGTCTTACTTATTTCACTTACCATTACCCTTCCATGTTGTTGGAGCTGGTAAGATTTCATTTTTTTTTTTACAACCAAGTAATATTCCATTGTATATGTGTACTACAGTATTTTTATCCACTTGTCAATCGATGTACATTTAGGTTGCTTCCATATCTTGACTATTGTAAATGAAATATTCTTCTTTATCTCTTATTATAGCCTTTATTTTAAAGTATGTTTTGTCTGTTTTAAGTATTGCAACCCCTGCTCTTTCTCTTTCCATTTGCCTGAAATATCTTTTTCCATCCCTTTACTTTCAGGCTGTATGTGTCTTTCAATCTAAAGTAAGTCTCTTGTAGACAGTATATGTAAGGATCTTGTTTTGGTATTCCTTCGGCTCCCCCTTATGTCTTTTAGGTGGAACGTTTAATACATTTATATTTAAAGTAAGTATTGATAGGTATGTAGTTATTGCCATTTAATTATTCATATTTTTTTCTCATTTTTTCCTTCTTAAATAAGACCCTTTAGCATTTCTTGCAATACTGATTCGGTGGTCATGAACTTCTTTAGCTTTCTTGTCTGGAATCTATAGGTCTTTTATCAAAAAGAAAAAAAAAACAAAACAAAACATCTAACCCATTTTATCTTGAATTACTTCTGTGGCTTTTAATGGCCACAAAAGAAAGTGTTATATGATACTGACATGATTATTCTGAACTCTAAACTGGAGGAGAAAGTGTTTCCATTTATAGTAGAATTTGAGTTCTAATTACTGAAATGAAATTGAGAGGTCTCCCAGACAAGATTTTAGACATGGGGCAAGTCTTCTGATGATAGAAATAAAAATAAGCTTTGGAACATTGCCTGTCTCAACCCCCAGATAACTGTTTATTTTCACTCTCTCCTTTGCAGTGGGACCTGAGTGGGACAGTTGAGGAGCAAAGTGCCTCACACAAAGCTGCTCCCTCTTCAGTGTGGCATAATAATAGGTACTCTTTTAGCCATTTAGTAGCAAACACAAAACAGAGTAAATAAATGGTCTTTTAAGTTGTTCCGAGCAGAATTTTAGTTTCTACTGAGAAAAGTTCTTTACCTTGTTTTATTAGAAACTTAATGTTTTCACCAGAAAGCAATGCCTATAGATCCATGAGACAGCAGGCTTTTCTGGCAGAAGGAAGACGGCGAGACCTGGTGGAGTCCAGGCCTGCCTATGTGCTAAGAGGGTAATGTTGGGTAATTTCAGCTCTGCTGATTTATTTTATTGTTTGTATTGTGGTTAAGTATACATAAAATAAAATTTGCCATTGTAACCATTTTTAAGTGTAATTCAGTGGCTCTAAGTACATTTACAATACTGTGCAACCATCACCACTGTCCATTTCCAGAACCTTTTCATCATCCCAAACAGAAACTTTATCCATTAAACACTAACTCTCTGTTCCCTTCTCTTATTCTGCTTTCTGTCTGTGAGTTTGACTGATCTAAGTACCTCATAAAAGTGGAATCATACAGTATTTGTCCTTTTGTCTGACCTATGTCACTTAGCATAATGTTTTCAAGGTTCATCCATGTTGTATGTAGCATGTATTAATTTCATTCATTTTTAGCACTGAAATATTCCATTGTATGGATATACCACATTTTGTTTATCCATTTTTCTGTTGATGTACATTTCAGTTGATTCCACCTTTTGGCTATTGCAAATTATGCTGCTATGAACCTTCATGTCCAAGTATCTGTTTGAGAACCTGCTTTCAATACATTTGGGTATATATATACCAAGAAATGGAATTGGTGGGTCATGTGGTAATTATATGTTTAATTTTTGAGGAACCACCAAACTATTTTCCATGGCATTTGCACCTTTTTAGATTACCACCATCAGTGCACAAGTGTTCCAATTTCTCTCCATTTTTGTCAACACTTTTTATTTACTGTTTTTTTTTTTTCATAGTGGCTGTCCTAATGGGTATAAGATGATGTCTTCTTGTGGTTTTGCTTTGCATTTCTCTAGTGATTAATGATGTTGAGCATCTTCTCATATGCTTCTTGACCGTATGTTATTTTCTTTGAAGAAAGTCTATTCAGGTCCTTTGCCCATTTTTAAAAATCAGGTTACTTGTTTTGTTATTGAAATTCTTGATATAATCTGGATATAAACCCCTTTTCAGATGTATGATTTCCAGGCTTGTGTTTCTTTTTAAAAACATAGCTCTGATTATGTTGCTTGGTGCTAGTGATGGACATTAAATTCTACTCACCACAATCTTTTATCTTCCCTGGGTGACTTTAACTGGGCCCTCACCTTTTGAGCTCATTTCCTCAGTGGAGATGGAAATAACTGTGCCTTCCCCTAGGGTTGTGTATGGGTCCCCTGAATGGTGCCATTTAGTACTCTAGGCCAAGACAGAAGACCCTATAACTTCTGACTCTTTCTGGGAGGTGTATCTACCAGAGCCTATGTCAAGTATCTTTTCCCAGAGCCCCTATGTTTAATTTCTTTCTTCCCAACAAGATTAGGATCAGCTACTTCATGTCCCCCTAGACCAAAGAACACACAGGTGCCCAGCAAATAGGAGTAGGTTAGCATGAGTACTGTGTTCTCATTATCACACTTACATTGTCTTATCTTGTCCCCACTTTCTCTTCTGTGCCCACAATGTCCAGGAGAGAGCCTCTTCACAGTTAGTGCTTAATAAATTTGTTTAGGTATATGTGGTAAAGCTGTTACTATGGGGTTCCAGAGACAGGCTGAGAAGGAAGCTTCCAGAGCTGAGGTAACTTCATGTGGAAAGCTCTGAGAGTACTGTCTTTCCATAATGTGTTTTGTTTCCTTTGAAGAAAGAAGAGATGATAAACCTGCTCTCCAGCTGCAGACACTTGCTCTTCTCATTAAGTGTAGGCCTTTATCACGGAGGGCAGGCATTGTTGTTGCCCTTTCCCCTTTGCTGGGCTGGATGGGCTCCAGCTTCATTTAATAAACTGTCTGCCAGTACTGTGTTCTCTTGATGTTGCTGGAAGTTGTTTCTGACTGGAAGCATATTTGGAGCATACAAACATTTGATCTTGTCAGGCAGTTTAAAATTTCATTTGTCAGGTCAATGTTTTATCCATTTTGACCTTGAGACTTTTTCTCATGGTTAATACTTTGGCAATTCTAGAAAGAACTCTCCATGTGCATCTTAACCTCCACTTCCTATCTTTTAGTCTTCCCTCATCTCTTTCTCCCTGTCTCTAACCTCCTGTTACTCTCTCATTCCTTTCTTTTTTTCTTTTCATCTCCCCTTCTTTCCGCTCTCTTTCTTGGACCCTTTCAAGTCTTTTTGTTTTACAGACAACTTTGTATTTTTAAAAATATCTTCATTTCTTGGATGATCTTCTGGAACTAGTATTACCTAATCAGAAGTCTCTAAAGATGTATATGTGCATGTGCGCACACGTGCATTTCTTCACATTTCGATTTTTACTTCTTTAATGAATATGGTGTGCACTAGAGTAGATGTAAACAGACCAGAGTTTGAGCCTGGCTCTGCCACCAGTGCTGGAACCTCCTGCATACACACACATACACTGTTGTGGAACCAATCACTTTCCTTTCTGCATCTGATTTCCTACCTATGAAGTGGGCTGGCCCGGTGACCACACTTTTCCCTTATGATCAGTGGGAGGGTTCAGTGAACCAGTTCATGTTGAGCACTCAGCCCAGGTGACTATGATTTCTAGGCTTTCTATAAAAATTTGCCACTTGTTTTCTCACTTAATGATCTAAAGTCAATTTGACTGAGGTTCTTTGACTAAATTGCTTAAAGAAGGAAGGAGAAAAGAAGGGATAGGAGACTGCAGCAGTGCCTTGTCACCCTAGAATCTTCCACCAAGCTAGTTATGGTTTGCAGAAATTCTTTCCTAGGACCTACCTACTCTGCTGGACCCTCAGTGTGGTCTGACTTCCATGTAACTCTAAAGACTGGCCTCCAGGCCATGTGAAGAAGAAAGAAGACTCTGCATTTTTCTAGAGTTTTTATTTATGGACTTTTCTTCTGTTTTGCAGCTGATGCCTTTTTCAAAACCGCTATAAGCCTCATTCCAGAAGTCCCAAAGATGATTAGTATCGATGGAAAGATGCGACTCTCAGAATCATTCCTTCTGGAGTTCCTCTGCAATTTCTTTTCTACTTTATTAATAGTTCCGGTACGTCTCCTCAGAAGAGCTGAAGGTGATATCTTTCTTTGACCTGCTTTATAGGTGTCCTTAGCCCCAAAACTGCAGGGATGTTCTGTTTGTGTGTTGGGTTTGTAGTCAAATATTTGAATTTCTCAGGGTATTTTTCATTCATTCTGTCCTGAATGTGTTAATTGAGACTCTCTATATGGTCAAGACAGTGTCATTTAGTGATTTTGGAGGGGAGGGGGGTAAGATGACTAGGATGGACTCCCAGGTCTTCCTCCTCCCCACTCTGCAGTCTCTGGTAATTATGTAGTATTACTGCACTGCAGTTTTTTAATCTATAAAATAGTAATAATATCTGTATCTAAGTGTTGTTGAATATTAAATGAATGAATATACATGCATGGTTAGAACAGTGACTTGGCACAGAGTAAGCACTAAAAAGGGCGATGATGATATTCTTTTGATGGAAAGTGCTAGAAACCAAACCATGAGAGTGGGGATGAAAGGGGACATTTTGGAAGAATTCTGGGGTTTCATTTGGAAGATAAGAGATGAGCAGTCAGGGTTGGGCTGGAAGGAATCAGGGCCACCCCCAGGATAAGCACAAAGGCCCCTCACTCTAGCAGGGGCTCCTAACTGAGAGTCCAGCTATTGCCTGGGTAATTAACAGGATGGCACATAAATTTAGATTAAAAAAAAAAACTTTATTTTTACAAACCTCAGTGAAGTGTAGCCTTTGCTCCATTATGAATTAATTACAGGCAGTAAAGAAGTATTTATCACAGTAGCTGGGACTTTGTCACCAATAAAAATCACCAATATGTTCATATCACAATCCAGGAATGAAAGGTATTTCAGAAGATTGTTCATGTGCTTCCTTCCCTAAAAAACACAGCAGTTACTAGTCCCATCATTAGGTTTGTTACTTAAATGTATTCACCAAGGAGTCATAGATTATAATATAACAAATAACTGAAAAAATATTTTAATAACTGTATTTTAGTATAATTGGTTTCCTTTGTTGTCTTATGTATTTTATTTTCTTCAGCGTATTCTGAGGAGCCCATCAGCCTCACTAGGCTGTAACAGAGTCCAGGCACAAACAAGTTGGCTCTTGATAGAGCCAGATGTGTGTTGGTATAAGGGATATTTGTTAAAATGCAGATTCTTGGAGCCCTCTCCCAGAGAGTGTTACTCTGAAGCATCATTTTTGAAAGCCCCCTCATCAATAAGTTCAAGTGTAGGTGGTCCTAGAGTCACCTTTGAGAAACACCCCTTTAGACTTGGACCCTGAAAATAACATCTCCCATGGGAACAGAGTTCCTTTTGGGATGATGAAAATGTTCTAAAATTGGTTGTGGTGATGATTGTACAGCTCCATGAATGTACTAGCAACCATTGAGTTGTGCATTTTAAATGGGCAAATTATTGGGTGTGTGAAATATATCTTAGTGAAGCTGAGGAGACGAAAGTGACTCAGCTCCCACAACTCTCCCAACTTAGATCTCAAGATTTCCAGACAAAAGCCCTGGCTGGTGTGACTTGGTGGATTGAGCACCAGCCTGTGAACCAAAGGGTCACTAGTTTGATTCCTAATCAGGGCACATGCCTGGGTTGCAGGTCAGTCCCCCATTAGGGGGCACTTGAAAGACAACTGCACTTTGATATTTCTTTCCCTCTTTCTCCCTCCCTTTCCCCTCCCTAAAAATAAATAAATAAAATCTTTTTTTAAAGATTATTTATTTATTTATTTTTAGAGAAGGGAGGGAGGGAGAGAGAGAGAGAGAGAGACAGACATCAATGTGTGGTTGCTGGGGGTCATGGCCTGCAACCCAGGCATGTACCCTGACTGGGAATTGAACCTGCAACACTTTGGTTCACAGCCCACACTCAATCCACTGAGCTACGCCAGCCAGGGGGAGAATAAAATCTTTAAAAAAAAGAAAAAAGAAAGGAGAAAATATCTCTTAAAAAAAGAAAGGTTTCCAGACAAAGGATGGGCTTGACTCTTTGTGTTTTCAAATCTCCTTCTTAGTACTTTATAATCAGTTTCTCTCTCTTTTGGGTAGTTTAGTTATTTTACAAGTGAGAGGACAAAAGAAATCAGGGTTTCTTAGAAGAAAGTTGATCAATGTTTATTGACTGATTTTTGGGGGGAAGCATTTCCTTCTGCATATGAGGCTTTTTTTGTATTAAAAATCCTTAGAGTCCTGATGAAAACCCTTGTGCTTGGACTCAGAAACTTCTGTTTGGTCCTGACCCAAAGACTCCAAGTTCTTATGGCCATGGGAAGGTTTTGTAACTCCTTAGAGTTTCCATTTTCACCTTTCTAAAATGTCATCCAAATACTCACCTGGCAGAACTGCAGTGATAGATATGAAAAGCACATTGTGCATCACCTCTGTCTAGGTCACAATCTTTTGTCCAGTGGGTGGAATCCAACCTATAGACAGGCTTGCTGGCTACATAATCATGGAAAAAACATTTCAGATGAATTACCCATAATTAAAAATTGGTAGATCATAAAAAAGCCCAGATTTTTTGTTCCTCTTGAAAAATCAGGTTCTGCCATGTGGGGCCCACATTCCCTGACCTGGCCAATTGGCCACAGCTGGGAAACAGCTGCCTCGTTTTAGGGGTGAGGGGCTTGTACACTTTCTCCAGTTCTCCTGGGCATCTCCAGGCTCACTAAACCCATTTCTATTGCCTGCCTGGTCCCTAGGTATTCATGGGAATGTCCCCTGGTTTCAACAGGTTTTCTGGTTTCTTGGTATCAGCACTTATGCTTTTGCTGGGGTTTATGAAAGATGGTGAGAAGAATAGCTGTAGTTCTTGACTTCTTACTACTGTTGATCCTTGAACAACACAGGTTTTGAAATTCCAGGGTACACTTATACATGGATATTTTTTAGTAGATATGCCATCGGCCCTCTGTGTGCCCAGGTTTTTCATCCACAGATTCAGCCAATTGTGGATTGAAAACTACTTTTGATCCCTTTTTGGAAATCCACAAATGCAGAAGGCCAACCTTATGCATTGTTATGTAAGGGGCTTGAGCATCCATAGATTTTTCTGTCCTTGGGTTTCTGAAACCAGAACCTGGTGGATAGTAAGGGGCTGTTTTGGGGAAGTCAAAAGTTATATGTAGATTTTCTACAGTGCTTCACAAAAAATCCTTTGTTAATATTTAGTTCTAGGAGTCCTCCCCTAAGCCCTACAAGGTGAGAGTCATTGAACCTTTTCCACTTAAGGATACCTAGAGCTGGAGAGGCCATGCAGCTTGCCCAAGATCATATAGCTGGTAAGCAGCAGAGCTAGGATTTGAACCTAGGTTTGTGCTACTCCAGAGCCTGTCCTATAGGAATGTCTGCAGTGTGCTTTATTTGCTAAGGGTTGTTGACCCTTAGCAGATCCCTCCTGTAGGATGCAGCATTCATAACTGCTGGTAGGCTGTGCAGGTGCTGGAGATGTTCAGCCTGAATAGCCAGGGCTGAGTGCTGAGTGAGCTCAGAAGCCACAGTTGGACCACATGTGAGCCACATCTGCTGTGAGTAGGTTTAGCCTAAAAATAACTCCTATGTCTCCCTTTTACCTGGTTCCAATTATTACCTTTCAAGTCACAGCTTTTATTTTTAATTGTAAAAGAAAGTTATTGTTGCCTTGCCTGTGTAGCTCAGTTGGTTGGAGTGTGAACACAAAAAACTTGCGGGTTCAATCCCTGATCAGGCTGTGTGGGAAGGCAACTGTTTAATGTTGTTTCTCCCTCTCTGTCCCTCTCTCCCTTCCTCTCTTTCTAAAATCAATAAAACATATCCTCAGGTGAGGATTAAAAACATTTTATTGTTGTTTCTTGTTGACTCTGGGGGAACAGACCCTGGCAGACCCTGGCAGACCTTGGAAGACTCTGCTTCCCCCAGAGTCACCAGCCAGTAAGTGGATGGGACAATTCAAATCCAGGATATCTGTGCTCATTGCTATTTCCACTGCCACTCATCTAGGTTCTTCTGGGAAGTTCATCAATTCTAGGGTATTGTCTCTTCTCCCATGGAGTGACATTTAATAGAAGTGTTCCTACATACTAGAGACCCAAAGGGATATTACAAATGTTGGGAGCTAGGCCTCACCTGTGCAGCTGGAAGGGAGGTTTGAGTTCCTTCCAGGTGCCCCTTAGGAGCCTCCTCTTACGCATTGTTTGCTGTGTCAGAGAGCAACTTTGGCAGACACCAGGGGGAATCTTGCCCGCTCAGGCTGCCAACTGAATCAAGGGATTGTTTTTTTTTCTTTTCTTTTCTTTTCTTTTCTTTTTTCTTTTCTTTTCTTTTCTTTTCTTTTCTTTTCTTTTCTTTTCTTTTCTTTTCTTTTCTTTTCTTTTCTTTTCTTTTCTTTTTTCTCTTCTCTTTTCTCTTTTCTTTTCTTTTCTCTTTCCTTACTTTCCTCTTTCTTTCCTTTCTTTCTTTTCTTCCCTTCCTTCCTTCCTTTCTTTTCTTCCCTCCCTCCCTCCCTCCCTCCCTCCCTCCCTCCCTCCCTCCCTTCCTTCCTTCCTTCCTTCCTGAAATCTGTGTTTGCCTTGCTTCAGTTGCTGGCACTGAGCCATCAAAGTGCATTTTCTTTTAAAAAAAATTACAGCTGCTGAAGAATAGATACCATGTGGAAATTTTTTTCCCTTATACAAAAGGCTGGAAATAATCTCTCATCAATTACGGGCAAAAGCTCAAGGATATGGCTTAGCTGCAAACCTTTACCTCTTTTTTCTTCTTCTTCTATCTTTTTGAGTGTATGTTGAATGGTCTCCCTCGATAATTGTGGCAATTTGTGTTGAAATTAGGTTGCTGAAACATCCAGATTATTGACCCTCTCCAAGGCAGATCACTAAATAAAATGTATTTTTGAACATCCACATAGCGGAATAAAATTGCCTAGTTAGAAACAGCTGTCAGCAAAGAAAGGCAGCAATAAGCTGTCAGCTGAGATGGACGTTATAAACAGAAGGGAGACCATGGAGTGGGCATTTCTGATGCTTATAGTTCAGACCTTCAGACGTCTTCTTTCTTGCCAATATTATAACAGCAATTGCTGTAAATGTTAACAGCTATACAAACCATCTTAGCACACCTCCACTCTTATTCTCACCCACTGAAAGTATTACTGCTGTATACACATTGGATTTGCTGGTTATTAATTCTTACCAACCTTGGTTATAGCATTTCTTGTATACCAGGCCTGTGTTCAAAATATCTGACTCTCCCAATTAGCCAGCTCCATTAAGTCAGAGACATGCCAACTCATCTAGCAGAGAGGCAGTATAAATATAGTATTAGTTGTTAGGAATGCCTCCTCTGGAGCCAGACTGCCGCAGCTGAAATCTTGGTTCTCCCAAGTATTATCAGTTTGACCTTGAGCTACTTAGACCTCTCTGTGGCCCAGTTCCCATCTGTAAAATGTGGGAGGGTTGGGGGGTGTCATAATATTATACTATTTTTCTAGAACATAGAGAGCTATGGTAACTATGATAGCTACCATAAAAATTAGCTACTGTTACTTGTTTTTATAGTCAGCTCAGTTACTGGCACATAGAAGGTACTCAAAAAATGTAAGCTATTCAACATTATATACTGAGTGCCTGCTGTGTGCCTAACACTATCCCCGGAACCAGGGTTGGTTGGGGTGCCATTCACATTGTGTTCCCTGGGCAGTCCTGCAAGTGTGTTATTGGCAAACATGACGGATAAAATCTCTGTCCTCCTGGAAGTTATAGGTTAGAATGAAAGAGAGAGATAAACCGAGAGATATTATTGGGTAGTTCACTGAAGGAAGAAACAAGAACACTTCATAGGGTAAGAACTGCTCTGGAAAAGAAGACAAGATGATTTGGGATAAAGAAAGATAAGAGGAGGGGGTCTGGGAGCTCTACATGATCAGGGAAAGTCTCCTTGAGGAGTTAACATGTAAGATGAGATCTAAAGGTTCTCATGGAGTCAGCCTGGCCTTGGTAAAGTCTTGCAGATAAAGATCCCAGTAGAGGGAACAGTAGGGCCTGAGACTAGAACGTTATTGGAGTGTAAGTTGTCCCCCACAGCATTCTTCCATCTGGCCTGTCTGGGAGACTGATCTGTGGGGCCTGTATCACCTGGGCTTTTTCTGGCTTCCAGCTCCTTCAGCCAGCAGATGGTACCAGTGGCAGATTGGAGGGCAGGAGGACAATGAGGTTGGGGTATTTACAGACTGGGCCATGGTTTGGCAATGGCTTGGTTCCTGCACCCAAGACCACAGTTCTTGCAAGCTACCTCCTCCAGCTGCAGGTCTTGCACAGTCCAGTAATGTTACTCCCCACTGTGTGCTTTCAGACCAAGGATGATGATGGCTTCCTGCTGTTGCCAGGCCCTGGGTGCCTTCCTAGTTCCCTTCATCCTGCCCACATCTTTATAAATAATTCTTTAGTAAATAGTCCTCATTTAACCTTTGAGTATGCCTGGGTCCTCAGAGGCCCCTGAGTGGTCCATCTGTCCCCAGGAGTCTTAAAGTGATGGCTTGAGCAAGTGAGGGGCAACAGGCATTGGCTGGGTCAGGAAGATGATGGCAGCAGGAGCTGGACATGTGTTCTCAGTGGGAGAAGTCAGTGTTAAGCAGGGGAGCCACATAACCACATATATATTCTTGGAACTGAATTGAAGTGGCAGGGTGTTTTTTTGTTTGTTTTTGTTTTAATCCCAGCACTTCTTTTCAATTCAGTTTAGCTTCTGAGAAACACTGTTAAAAGCTCTATGACTGTTTCTTGGATTTTTCTTTTCCCAAAACAGAGTCCTCAATTTAGCTGTTCATGTTGTTGAATGCCCTACCTAGTGATATTTTATTAACATCAGTGCCTCATGGTGACAGTGATCATTTGGGGGGCTTACATGAAGAAGGTGGCTTCTGCTGCTCATCTGCTTTGAGACTAACAATCTTGATTTTGTAATTGGAAGAACAAGACTTTTTACAGCTCTATACTTAAAAACAGGATTGTAATTTTGGAAACTACCTGACAGGTACCCTTTGCTTTCTCATTCTGGAATCCAAAAAGCGAGACTCTCAAAGTTTATCTCCATAGACTGCAGTATATTGATGAGTGGGATTAATGGCATTTTGTCATTTTTCTCTCTATTGTTTAACCATAGCTGATTCTTTTAGTTTCTCTATAGCTGCTAAAGGGAGGGACTTAGGTTTCTGTCTTGATTTTTTTTTCTCCTGCTTCATGTCTGCAAATAATTATACTTGTTTTGATTCTCCACTAGGATCATCCTGAACATGGTGTCCTGTTTCTTGTTCGAGAGCTTCTTAACGTGATCCAGGAGTATACCTGGGAGGACAGCAGTGATGATAAAATCCGCATCTACACCTATGTTCTGCACCTTCTATCTGCCATGAGTCAGGAGACCTACCTCTACCATGTAGACAAAGGTAGTCAGGCTCCCTTCCACCAAACTGCACTGTGTTGTTGAATTTCATGAAAGTCAAGTTAAATGTTTTCATTTTCTTTTATTTAATCCACCTTGTGTCTTACCTACTGTGAACTTCTAGTCCAGGGTCTCTCTGGATTTTTCCAGTGTAAGAATTACCTGGGACAAATCTTAATAGAGTCCTGAGCCCCATCTGCCCCTTCTAAATTAGAATCCCCAGGAAGAGACTTGAGGATCTGTATCTATAACAAACATCCAAGATTTAAAAATCAGATGAATTCAGAGAAGCCCTCTTTTGGGTCGGTGCTGTCTTTGGTGTTCTACAGAATAACCTAGAATGGTGTTTAAGTGTACACATGCATGAGCTTCCTCCCAGGCCTGTTCCTAACCACAGCCTCAGACAGGCCTTGGTCTGGGGTATTTTTACCCATTACTTTAAGTGAGGCTCAGCTAGTCCCTAGATCACATGTTCAGGAGGAAGGAGATGGCCTTCAGTGGCCCTCATGTACTACCAGCAGTTTTGAACTTGCTGCTATGAGTTTAGGAACAGATTCCTCATGTCCTGTATATAACATAGGACAGTCCCAATTCCAGACCTCCGCCTTCTGAGCCTAAGCATCTTCCTACCTCAGTTCCAATTTTTTATTAAAAAAAAAACCAAAACAGCACTTTTGTTAAAAGTGCTCTGGTCAGTGATTATATACTTAAGGGTTTAAGCCACTGTGTTTACATTTGGTAGTGTCAGGGAACAAATTTGCAATGGTAAGGGATATGGCCTTCTGCCGTAATTCTTACAGGCTTTTCTCTAGCTGGGATTTGGAAGCTGACAGTAAAGATGTAAATTAGGGAGGCAGGTTAATGTAGGTGATGATAGCTCTGACAACCTGAGCTTCTGCTGCATGCCAGGTGCCACACCAGACTCTAGGGGCCTCTTTCCTATAGGCTTCTCAGCATTGTAATGAAGACAGACATTCCTGTCCCCATTTTATATATCATCAAGGGGGAGACTCAGAAGGATAATGTTGTTTACCAGCCATGTGGTTTCAAGGACTCAGGGCCAGTTAGTGATTGAAGTGGAATTCACACCCAGAACTGTGGGATGTATATTATGCTGCCTTCTTGATTACAAAATAACAATGTTTTAATTAAGTATAACATAATATACATACCACCAACTATAAAGCTCAGTGGATTATCACAAAGTGAACACACCCAGGTAACCACAACCCACATCAAAAAACTGAATTTACTGGTTCCCCAGAAGTGTCCCACATGCTTCCTTCCAATCAGCACCACCACTTTCCTTTCCAGAGGTACACCTTTCTCCCAACTTCAGCATCACTAACTAGTTTGCCAGTTTGACTTTTATGTATATGAACTCATTTAGCACATTCTTTGGTATCTGGCTTCTTTCACTTGGTATTATGTGTGTGAGAGTCTTCTGTGTTGCACTGTAGTTCATACTTTTACATTTCTGTACACTATATTCCACTGTGTGACTATGCCAGAATTCATGCATTCCATTATGGATAAACATTTGCTTGTATCCAGTTTGAGTTCTAGACTGTTACAAGTAGTGCTGCTATGAACATTCCTGAATATATAATTCTTGGTGTACATTTCTTTCGGGTATATCCCTAGGGGTGGAATTGCAGGCTCATAGGATTTGCTTATATTCATTCAGATCTGGTAGATAACTATATCCGTTTTCCAAAATGGTTATACCAATTGATACTCCTACAGGGCATGAATGAGGGTTCCATCTCCTCCCCTTGGTAGTATGGTCAGTCTTCACCATTTTGGATATTCTGAGTATAATTTGCATTTCTCTGATGGCTAATGAGATTGAACACATTCTCCTATATTTGTTGGCATTTTTATTTCCCCTTTTGTGAGGGGCATGTTGAAGACTCTCAGCAGTAAACTTTTGAGGACCAGATACTGACATGGAAGTGGGTCTGTAAACCAAGAGCCCTGTCAGAAGAGCAAGCTCTCTCCTCTCCAGTTAAATCTTCTGTATGAACCACACAGTCAGGGCAGACTATAGCAGCCAGAGTGTTAACAAGGGAGTATGGCTAAGTTTGATAGTTAGGAGTCTAGTTTTCTGGCTTTTAAAGATTAAAACAAAAGGATGGGTTTTCTTTTCCTTCTTTTTGGCCCAGCTGTGTTTCCTTTAGATGCACAGTAGTGGCTAGAAATTTGTGTTGGTAGGAGAGAGTCCCTAGGCTGTGGAGGCTTTCCAGGGGTTGTGAATTCCATTTTCTTATCCCTTTCTTATTCTAGTCAGCCTTTTAGACAGCAATGACACAAGTTAGGACTTATGAAAAACTGGGTTCGAATGTTTTTTTGCATTTATGAAGAATAGTTTGGCTGCTTTCTTTCCAGATTAACAGAAAAGAGTATGTTTTGAAATTACCTGGAGCAAGTACTACAGTACTTGCATGCAAGAGAGTGAGTGTGTTTGATGTGGAAGGGAAGAAGAGTACTATATACTATTTGTTTACTGACTATGCAGTTAGAGTGTATCTAGTAGGAAGAGTACAATCTAGGATGCTGCTGTGAAACCAGCATAGCCCCTTCACACCTCCATGCCAGCTGCCAGGCCCTTGAAGCATTCAGGGTTGTGACCCTGGGACAGACAGCTGCAGAGAATGTGGGTAATTGTTAGTGGCCTTTTGCCAGGGATATCATTTCTCCTCAGGTCTGGACTCTCAGGCTCACTTTACACTCTGACCTTAACCAGCTTCATCCTAATTCAAAATGTCACCCTTCCTCCCTCCCTCCCTCTTATCACCACCAAGTGTTAAAGTAGACACTTGCTCCGCCACTCCTGATCCATTTTACTTTCTCTGGTACATTCACTGTGGATCTTGCTAATGCCAGAATTCCATCCCAAGCCTAGATTTTAGGATCCTGTACCCACTGTTTCCTCCCCTGCTGACATTCATCACACACCATTGCAATCGCCTGTTTGCTCACCTACATCTCCTCAATAGACTGAGAGTTCTGGGAATGCAGGGACCAGGTGGGCTTTGTTTCCCACGGGGTCCCTAACCAGCTTGGCTGATTGGCCACAGGCACTCTCAGACTTTCTCTCTTCTCCAGTATTGGGCTAAGCAGAATGAAAATAGATTCCAGCCTAGAGTCAGACTGGGAATTTATGCCAGGAACAAGTGTAGTCCTCAGCAGAGACATGGGAAATTCCTTCACCTGCTGCAGTTTTGCCACAAAATCAGATGGTGAGTGGCTGAATCAAATTCTTTTGCCTTTTACAAGAATAACTGCCACCCTCATCATGGTGGAAAGTTGTGAAAGATGCCAGAACAGTCTTAGAAATTCTGGGACAGACCCCTGTGGCCTAGGGCCTTTTCTTTCCAATCTGGTGTTGGAGAAGTAATTGCAAAACAAATAGCCTAGAAAGTATTTCCTGGAAGCATCCTCACAGACAAGCACTTGAGAACTGGATTAAAGATTACCTACAGATAGATGCTGGGGATCACAGAGACTTACTATGCTCTTCACTTTCGGGCAGTACCTGTGCACCCTGCGTATAGATGGGTGTGTGTATGTGTATGTTGTAAAGAGAGCAAATGCAAGGGTGGGCCCAGAAGTAGTATAATGAATGGCACCAACTGCTGATTCTAAGGATGAGATGGTCTCCAGCATACTGTTTCTCCAACTTTTCTATAGTCTTGACATTCATTTTTTTTTTTTTCAAAACTAAAAGGTAGGTCAAGGAGAACACAGCAAATTATATTCCTGTAGAACCCATTTTATTAAAAAATGTTCCCAAACCACAGCAGATTGTGCCATGTGCTTGTGGCCACATCTACACTGCTTCTCCCCCCAAGCACCAGTATAGTCTCTGGTTTATCTGATGTCGCCACACCTGGGGCAACGGCCCAAATTTTAGTCCTCCGCTGTATTAGAAGCGGCAAAGAACTGCCGCTACCCTTTCCTTCTTCTTGACCACGTGCCACCTGCTACTGGTGCTGCAAAGGTTTCTCTCCGAAGTCTATGGATTCTTCACTGAATATGGCTCCTGAGAGCACTTCTAGTTCATTCCAGGCTGAAATAATGGTGCTTGACCACGTCCAGGTTTCATACAAGGCGGAGTATTAAACTCACATAGGCATGGAGGAAAAGAGTAGATTCTGCAAGGCAGGGTTGTTTCATTATGGACCCTAAACTTCACAGCAGTCCTGCCCAGCCCTCATCCCCAGACAAAGAAAAGAAAGAAAATAACTGAAGCGTCACAGAGGGGACCACTTTAAACATTTACATTAGAATACTGCCTAGCTATTACAAAGCAAGCAGCAGATCTGTATATGCTGATATGGAAATAGCACCAAGTATGTCAGTCAAAAAAGCAAAGTGAAGAACAGCATGCTGTGTGTTCTCTCCTTTCTTACCCAAAGGTAAAGCTATGTGTACATTAAGGAGGGAGGTCCAACTCACTCCATCCTTGCCATCCTTGTTGTGTCCCACGTAGCAGCTGTCACAGGAGGTGCCGAAGCAGAGACATTTTCAAAGACATTATAGTTCACCAGTAGGCATCCAGAACTTCAGGGTCAATCTGAGAGTTTGAGGGATGAAAAGGTAGGCAGCTGGGTGTAGTGCCTAACGGTGTAAACTTCAGAATGGGACATCTTGGTTTTGGATACTAGCTGGGAGCACCTCTGAGCCTATTTTCTCATGTCAAAGGGAAATGGTAATGTCATCTCTTTCCCATGCTGTTTATGAGGACTTGCAGTAACATGTTGAAAGCATTTAGCCCAATGTCTGGGACATGGGAAGCACTCAGTATTGGCCACTACTCTGATGCTCAGCATGATTCTTGATGACCCCTTCCAAACCCTGGTCTCGGGCTCCATCTATCCAAAAGTCCAGATATTTTCTTTGTGAATCAGAAGGCCTCAAGCCTGGTGGGAAATTTGGCCATTTCCACTTGTCCTGCCGTGACTTCCTGACATCTTCTGATACCGTAAGCCACAGGACTGCCTCTCCCTGGCCAGGATGGCCTTAGTAATGACTCTCGGCTATGGTTTGTTCCATCAGTTGACTCCAATGACAGCCTTTATGGGGGAGATTCCAAGTTTCTGGCTGAAAACAACAAGCTCTGTGAGACAGCGATGGCACAGGTCCTGCAGCATCTGAAGACCCTGGCCAAGGATGAGGTAGGTGCCCTCTGTTATCTGCCATCCTGCTACTCTCTTGCTCTGAATGCATGTGTGTCCAGGGTGGGTGGATGTTCATTCTGGAAAGAAAACTTTCATGTGAATAATGTGTTCATATGCAAACTGTGGCCAGAGAGCTGTGGAGCCTTCACTCCTGCTCTTCGCCTGCCTGCCAGGTTCCCCTGGCCATCTGCTATGTCCTTGTCCCCTGAGATTAAAAAGGGATTGAAATATTCCTATTTCCCAGTGACATCATAGCCATCATAACATAGCACAATGCATTACTCGTGTGTTTGTGGTGATGCTGGTATAAACAAAACTATGTGCTAGTCATATAAAAGTACTGTATACCATATTTCTAGGGTACCTACTGTAGTTCAGATATGTTTTAGATTCACAATTACCATTTTGTTATAATTGCCTGCAGTACTCAGTACATTGCGTATTGTACATACTTGCAGCCCAGGACCACTAGGCTGTACCATACTGATGTGTAGCAGGTTGTGACATCCAGATATGTGTGAGTGTACTCTGATGTTTGCCAACAAAATTGTCTAATGATACGTTTCTCAGAACATATCCTCATCGTTAAAATACATGATTGTCCCAGTTCTCTTCCCAAGTTATGCCGACCATGGCTTCCATTTTTTGCAGCTTCAGTGCAAACATGTAGGTGACACATGGATCCCAGAGGCCCTTTCTCAGGCTGGCAGAGATGCATGTTTGTTTGTTCAGACACTGTGTTAAGGCTGACTCCTGTAGTGTAGTCAAGGTGGAGGAGGTTGTTATAGTGCCTTAGTTGTCAAAGCCAGTGCCTGACTTTTCTCTACATCTTTCCCATGGATCTGCTGGTGCCTTTCATTCTGGTGTTGCTCTTCATGGCTCTGAGCTGTCTGTTTGAAGCTCTGAGAAAACCTGATGGCCCATCCCTAATCTCTTCCTGGCAGGCCCTTTTTTTCCTCACTGTCCTCCCTCTAAGTTCCCTTTCCCAAACCCAAGATAGATTTCAGACTGTTTGGTTTCCAGTGGCCTTCCAGCCCTCCCCTTCCTTGCTGAGCCCTCCATCCTTTCCCATCTCCTTCCTGGAGTCTCTCTCACTCCTAGGTTTTGCTCCTACACCTCCTACCTCATCAAACCCTTTGAAGACAAAATAAGATCAAACTGGATATTAATTCTTTCTCATTTTCAGGACTGTATAAAATACTACCATTGCCCTCAACCCCATTTCCACCCCACCAAAAAACCATGATTATATAGCTGTGAGTGTACATGGGTAGGCATACATATATGAGTATGTCCTGGGTTCCCATTTTCCCAGCATTATTCAAGCACGTATTGGAGAGTGGGTTTTTTTTTTCTGAACTTCATTCCCTGGTGGCCTCTGCCAAGATCAGGGGTACTGTCAAAGGGCCAGCCTTTGGGTTAGCAATCCAAAGGGCAGAGGAAAACCACAGAACCATTGGTTCCAGGGGCATCAGTGCCACACAGTCCTCTCTCTAGGAACTAAAGGTTTGTGGGTGTGTCCCACTGACTCTGGGACACTTAATGCATGTAGTGCACTTGGCTGCCAGTGGTAGTGGCAGCATTAGAACCCCAGTGTCAGGAACTGGATTATTAAACCTGAGTATTAGAAGAGGCACCCCCTCTCCCAACTGAAAGGCCTTTCTCAAACACGTGTGAACTCTCCCTGGGGGTTAAAGACCCAGCTTTTCTTTTGCATAGGTGGTTTTCAGGAGAGCCCTTCCTATGTATAGGAGAAATGGAGTGTCCTTCACCTTAGCTTGCCCTTGTTACACGAATTAGATGCCCTTTGCTCCACCCCCATCAGAGAAAATTCTTAGTGTCATTCCTGATTAAAAAAACAAAATTGGCTCTGGCTCCAGCTTCTAGCCGGGTGCCTTGTAGAAAGAGCACGGCCCTGTATTTGGCATTCGCATTTTGCCACATGATTTGAAAGCACACTTTTCACTCATGCAACAGGCTGGATCTAATCAAAGGCTGCAGTGACAGCATAAATGACCATAGCCTAGGACCCTCATGCTTATAGGATAAAGCCCAGAGCCCCATAATTTGGAACTATTTTTATTTAACATTGGTTTCTTTGAGGAGGAGACATTGATGGTGGTAAAAACTAAAACAAAATTTTAACAGAAGAGCAAATCTGGAATGTTTCTGTAGACCATTTGAACTTGCCAGGGATGTTCACTGAAAATGTCTGTTCATATATGTACATTTAGTAGAAAAATATGAGTGAACTAAGCTGAATGGAACAAGTCATCCTTCACTGAGCATATGTGAAATTCACAGATGACATCGCATGTCAAGAGTTTGAGAGGTGGAATACTCTAGAGCAGGGGCGTCAAACTTATTTTCACCGAGGGCCACATCAGCCTCACGGTTGCCTTCAAAGGGCTGAATGTAATTTCGATTCCTTACCATTAAGGAGTAGTTACATTCATATAGTCCTAAAATTATTTCAGCCCTTTGAAGGCAACCACAAGGCTGATGTCGCCCCTGGTGGAAATAAGTTTGATACCCCTGCTGTAGAGTCTGGTGCCCTAGAAGAGCTGGTCAGATTTCTCTCCACTTGGTGTGGAGCAAAGCTGCCTGCTATTGGAAAACCCTAGTGTTGATGCTGATTCCAAATGTCTCGTCTCTTAGCACGGGTCACAGCCCTGCTTTCAAAATTGTCCTCTATATCCACATGAAGAAGCCAGTCCTTTTCAGTCACAAGATTCATAAAGTTGTTTGCTTGGGTGTGGTGAAGCTGTGAAGCATGGCAGATCCTTAGAATGAAAAGCATGAAAAGAATGAAAGCAGCTCTTTTCTATGTGAAACCTCAGTGGAGAGAGGAGGGGACTCAGGGTCCTGATTTGGTTCTCATGATAATGATTGTAGTTCTGGATCTTTGCATATTGGCTGGCATGCCTTATGCCTCAGACCCATCTCTGATGATTTCATTTTTAATGGGCTGTGCTTTTAAGACACGTGAATTGGGCTCTCTAGGGTAAAATGCTTGTTGAGAAGGTATGGAATGGAGAAATAGTTAAGAGGTTGTTTTCCTTTGACTTTTTAAGTCTCTCACATTTCAATGCAATGCATATGAAGGGCCTCTCTCAGGGGGTGACTCTTTCATTGGCTTTGAAATAGGATTTATTTTTTAGTTTGGTCCTCTAGATCCAAACAGAAAATGGGGCCTTCATTGTCTCTAGGTGGTAGACAATGGTGGGCTTAAAAGGGGAGCAGAATTGACTGAAACCTACTGAATGCTGATCTCTGCCTAAGTTCCTAATTGGGGCAGAACTACAGTGTCTGATTAAACAAAGAGTCCAGAGCAGGCAGTTACCAGTCAGTTCATGAGTATGTGCCAGTTAGGTACCTTTGAGCTTGTGACCGTCACCTGGTCCAGGCTGCTGCCAAGGCAAGCTCAATTTAGTGGGGGATCTGAGTTTCTTCATGGGCACTCAGCCACCATAAGTCAGCTGTGTTTGAAACTGTGTATTGTGTTGTTTTCTCCACTAAAAGACTACTATATATTTTTTTATTTATCTTTTTTTTTAGGTTTTTAAAAAGTATTTATTTCTAGAGAGAGGGGAAGAGAGTGAGGAAGAGAGGGAGAGAAACATCAATGTGTGGTTGCCTCTCGCGTGCCCCCAACTGAGAACCTGGCCTGCAACCCAGGCATGTGCCCTGACTGGGAATCAAACCACTGACCCTTTGGTTCTCAGGCCAGAGCCCAGTCCACTGAGCTACACCAGCTAGGTATTTTTATTTATTTTTTAATTACAGTGGATGTACAATACTATATTAGTTTCAAATACACAACATAAAGATTAGACATTAAGTAATCTCCCCTGGTGATATGTCTAGTGCCCATCTGAACCATACATACTTACTACAACATTATTGACTATATTCCCTTTGCTGTACTTTACATCCTACAACTACTTTATAACTACAGATTTGTACTTCTTAATCCCTTCACCTCTCATCTGCTTGTTCTGAGTCTTGTTTTGTTCATTTATTTTTTAGATTTCACATATAGGAAATCATGGTATTTCTTTCTGACTTATTTCACTCAGCATAATACCCTCTAGGTCCATTCATGTGGCCACAAATGGTAATATTTAATTCTTTTTTTATGGCTGAGTAATATTTCATTTTATGTATGTACCACTTCTTATCCACTTGTGTATTGATGGGCACATGAGTTGCTTCCATATTTAGCTATTGTGAATAATGCTACAATGAACATAGGGGTGAATGTGCTTTTTCAAATTAGTGCATTTCTTCCCTTGGCTGGTGTAACTTAGTGGGTTGAGCGCAGGCCTGTGAAACAAAGGGTTTCCAGCTCAATTCCCAGTGAGGTCACATAGCTGGGTTGCAAGCCAGGACCCCAGTATGGACTGTGTAAGGAACCACCACACGTTAATGTTTCTCTCCCTCTTTTTCTCCTTCCCTTTTCTCTAAAAATAAATAATTTTTTTTAAAAACATAGTGTATTTCTTTGGATAAATATCCAGAAGAGGGATTGCTGGATTATATGCTATTTCTATTAATTTTCTAGGGAACTCCACACTCTTTTCCATAGTGGCTACACCAATTTGCAGTCCCCCTTTTCTTCACATCCTCACAGACATTTGATTGTTGATTTATTGATGATAGTCACAGTGATAGGTGTGAGGTGATACACCTCATTGTTGTTTTAATTTGCATTTTTCTGATTAGTGATGTTGAGCATCTTTTCATATGTCCATTGGCCATCTGGATGTCCTTTGTAGCAGTGGTCCCCAACATTTTGGCACCATGGACTGGTTTCATGGAACAAGAGGTAGAGGGACAAGAGGCGGAGCTCAGACAAGCTTGCTTGGCTTGCGGCCTGGTTCCTGACAGGCCAAGGACAAGTATCAGTCTGGGGATTGGGGACCCCTACTCTAGAGAAATGTCTGTTTTGGTGTTAAGTTGTATGAATTTATAAATTTTGGATGTTACCCTCTTATTGAATATATGTCATTGTAGAATATCTTCTCCCATTTAGTAGGTTGTATTTTTGTTTTGTTGATGGTTTTGCTTTGCAAAAAACTTTTAAGTTTGATGTAGTCCCATTTATTTTTTCTTTTGTTTGCCTTGCCAAAGCAGGCATATCCATAAAAAGAAATTTATCACCAAAAGCAACATCAAAGAGTTTACTGCCTACGTTTTCCTCTTATGAGTTTTATGGTTTCAGGTCTTATATTTCTTTAATCCACTTTGTGTTTATTCTTGTATTTGGTAAGAAAGTAGTCTCTTTAATGTGTCTGTCCAGTTTTCCCAACACCATTTATTGAAGAGACAGTCTTTACCCGTTATATGTTCTTACATCAATTGACCATATAGGCATGAGTTTATTTCTGGTCTCTATTCTGTTCCATTAATCTATGTGCCTGTCTTTATGTTAGTACCATGCTGTTTTGATTACTACAGACTTGTAGTGTAGTTTGGTATCAGGTAGTGTGATTCCACCAACTTTGTTCTTTCTCAAGATTGCTCTGGCTGTTTGGTGTCTTGGGAGTCCCATATAAATTTTAGGATTACTGGTATTTGTTCTAGTATTGTGAAAAATACCATTGACATTTTGATAGGGATTGCTTTTGAGTCTATAGATTGCTTTGGGTAGTAGGATGGACATTTTAATTATGTAAATTCTTCCTATCCATGAGCACAGTATATCCTTCCATTTATTTGTGTCTTTAGTTTCTTTCTTCTATGTCTTACAGTTTTCTGAGTACATGTCTTTCACCTCCGTGGTTAAACTTACTCATAGGTATCTTACTCTTTTTGATGCAAATTTTGTATCCTGCTTCTTTACATTTATCAGCTCTAGTAGTTTTTTGGTGGAATCTTTAGGGTTCTTTGTATATAGTATCAGGTCATCTGCATAGTTTTACTTCTTTTCCAAAGTTGAAGGGCTTTACGTCCATCTTCTCATTTGATCCTTACTTACCCTGTTGGCTGGTATTATTACATTACTCTCCTACAGATGCAGAACCTGGGACTCAGGGAAGTTAAGCAGTTTGCCCTCCAGAAGATTCATGGCAGAGTTGGCATTTGAACTCAAGCCAGCATTTTAACGACTGGGCCCGTCTCAAGCCCCAGTGCCAGACAGTAACTTCTCTTTTCTGTTTCAGGCCCTGAAGCGCCAGAGCTTGTTGGGTCTTTCCTTCTTTAATAGCATCTTGGCCCATGGGGACCTGCGCAATAACAGGCTCAACCAGCTCTCTGTAAACCTGTGGCACCTGGCACAGAGGCATGGCTATGCAGACACCAGGACCATGGTGAGACACTCAGAGGGCCCCTCACTGAGCCCCTGAGGCACAGGGATTATATGGAGCTACACATGTCCACTGGCGAGAGCACAACTGTTGTTAACATAGCATCAGGGCATGGCAATTAAACAGCCCTAATTTCCCCCTTTTTTGAAAGGCACCAGGCCCAAGATTTCTGCAGTCACTTCCTTGCTCTACAAAATATAACACTATTAAAAGTTTATTCCCTCTGAATACTACATATATTAAAAGATCAGTCATTCTTGACCACATCCAAATTTAATTTTAAGGGTAATTTGAATCTAAGATGTTTTATTTAAAAATTATGCTTGTTTCTTCGCTCCCTTATCCTCCAAAGACTTTACCTGTTTCTCTGCTAAGAAAAAAGTAGGTCATTTCTACTGGCTGATTTGTTGCAGCCTTGGGCTCTAAAGATAGAGAATTATGACCCAGAAAGGAGATGGTTCATTCTTTTTCCTCCTAGGTGAAAACTCTGGAATACATCAAGAAGCAGAGCAAACAACCAGATATGGGTCATCTGACAGAGCTGGCACTCAGGCTTCCTTTGCAAACAAGAACCTGACCCTGGGGCCCGTCCCTAAGGCCTGCACCCGGAGCAGTGGGACCTAATCCAGAAAGACCTGCTTTTTATTTTATTTTTACACATAACAATTGGTTTAAGCTTCTACCAAGCTTCTTGGCCTCTACCAAGATTATTCTGACAGTGAAGAAGTGGAATTGTAAGAGTGTTAAAATTCAATCTTGTTCACTGAGCAACAGAATACAGGTAACACCTTTCTTTCTGGTAGGTGTCTTTATTTTTAATTGGGAAAAGAGCCAGTTTCCTCTAATTGGAATCTAGAATTAAATGTTACCTAAACCACCTTGGAGGATTCATAAAAGGCAGATGGCTCAGTTAATTTCTTTTTCTATCAAAAAGTAGCTCGATTGAACTTAGAACATATTCTTTAATGGCATAAACCTCCTGAAGGAATATTTATGGTCATGGCTGTTTGTTCAGTTATTTCTGATTCTTTTTACATAGGAGAAAGAGAATGTCTAAACTTTTTGCTTGGCTTGCTTTGTACCTGTAATTCTAAATAGCATGTGATTCTGTCTACTTTTTACCACCAGTTAGGTAGAATCTGAGTCTTGTTTTACCACTGATGAGTTTCCACTGACATTTTATTTTAAATCAATAAAAGTATTAGTATTGATTGGTGGGGACTCCCAGCCTAGAACCCCTTGTTCAAGAAAATACCTCCATGTTGTAAATGAATAGTACCCCAAACTACTGTGCTTTTGGAAGGTAGTCACTGGACATAGATTACATTTTTCTCTACCTTGTGAAATGCAATTCACACAGCTAATCTCAGTAAAAGTGGCTAAGATAATTTTAAAAATAAATTTAGATAAACTGATATTTTAACTGTTTACTACTAAGAATGTACTATAGATTTTTTTCTGGCCAACTTAATAGTGACAATCCCCGACCCCACAAGGAATTCTGTTGAAAACATAGATAACCTCCACTAAAGAACAGCAGGTAGTGGAGAATGCCTCTTCATGGAACAAAACATACAGAAATTCAGAGAGCATAGTGACATTGCTCAAATATTCCTAAGTGGCCTTTATTTCACAAAATTATTTCCAGTACTATTAGTATATGGTACTATTTAAATAAAACAGTTGGAAAATTCACAAATTATGTGCCTTAAGTCATTTCTTCTTCTATGAGGCTGAACACATCAGACAGCATTAGTTCCTGAGTCAGAGTCAGCAAATTCTTGTCACTCTATATATTCCCCTGAAGGTGGATTTCCCCAGGTCAGGTATATATACACCAAAATAACTTCTGAATCATATAGCTTGGCCAGGCAGAGGTGTAGGTTTTCTATGTTCTTGTGAAGTTTTCTCCAGCCCAATATTATATCAATTAGCCCATCCCTAAAAGCCACAGCCTACATGAGATAAAGTCTAATCAAAAGATGATGGAACACTAAAAAAGCCCCAAGAATTTTAATAATTAAGGTAAAAATGAGGAAAACTTATGCTTGAGACCTGTGTTCATTTTCTTCCACTGCTTTAATATCAGTAAATTAGTACAAGCTAAGTGGCTTAAAGAACACTATTATCACCTTACAGTTCTACTGGCCAGAAGTCCAGTTAGTCTCAGTGGGCTTACCTTTAAAATGAAGGTATTAGAGCAGGACTGGTCACTTCCGGCCTCTAGGGAATCCATTTTCTGCCTTTTCCAGTTCTTACAGGCTGCCTGCCTGCCTTGCCTTGTGTTCCTTTCTTTCTTCTTCAAAGCCACCACCAGCTTGTGGAGTCTTCTACAGTGTGTCTCCCTCTTCCACATTAAAGGACCCTTGTGACAAGACTGGGCCCATTTGGATAATCCAGGATAATCTTATTTTAAGGTCAGCTGATTAGCAACCTTAATTCTGTATGTTACCTTAACTCCTTTTTGTTTTGTACCCTAACATTCACAGGTTCTGGTGACTAGGACATGAGCATATATTTGGGGTGGCAGGGCATTCTGCCAACTATAATCTTGAATAGTTCTAAGTTTATAAAATGGCTAAGAATCCAGCTGTTTTGGGAACAGCTGGATAAGGGCAATTGTAAGGAGGGAAGGAGGGTTAGTCAGTAGGATAACCCCAAGGGAAAAACAGCCAACATGTTTGAGAACAGGGCTTTAAAATAAGACTGGCCAGGCTAGACCTCCCTGTCCCTCTCCCTGAGATTTTGAACAAAAATCCAAAACCTCCTAGTTCTGATCGAGACAGGCTGTGTCTACTCAGAGTCAAGAAATGAACATGGAAATCACCCCAAATCTTGCAGCTGGAGGAGGGTACTGGGCAAGAAGGACGGGGTAGCTGAAGCCAATATGGTTTAATTCACAAAGGACAGGAACCCAGCTAACACCAGGTCAGACAGGAAGTCCACCTAAGACCTCAGACTGTTGCAAGACACAGACCTACTCATGTAAGCAATGGCAGTCTGCATAGACAAGGTTAAGCTAAATCTGAGGACAGTGATATCCTGCTATCTTGGTTGCCCAACCTTCCTGGCTAGACCCTGTTTAAGGCACAGAATTCAATAAACTTTACTCTGAGCAACTTTCCTCTTCAGTAAGTGGTGATAGAGTGAATTCAAAAGTCAAATCCTACCAGACTATTTATATTAAAAAGGATATGAAAGGCCTGACTATCAAACCCTAATGAAAGCTTATCACTATGAGGATAAGACAGTAGACAATCCATCATCCTCTCTCCAGAATCACCCAAGAGATGGCTAGCCACAATCCTTCCTCATGAGCCAAGGCAGTCCCAAAGCAGTGTGGTCTCTTGCAAGATAAAAATGATCAGAGCAGTCAGTTGGTTTCCTTTTACACCAGTGGTCTCCAACCTTTTTGTCACCAGAAACAGTTTCATGGAAGACAATTTTTCCACAGATGGGGAGGTGGGAATGGTTTCAGGATGTTTCCTGCTGCGTGGTCCGGCCCGGTTCCTGACAGGCCCAGACCGGTACTAGTCTGCGGCCTGGATGTTGGGGACCCCTGTTTTATATGAAATGAAATCCTGTAGTATTGATCAAGGCAAGAAGACTTAGTCCTTTGTCAAAGGAAGTGCCCCAAAGCTAACTCCAATGCAGAGTCTCTCATTCTAAGCATTTGGGTGGCCTCTTCCATTATGTATCTCAAGGCTGAATCCATGAAAGGCCAAATTCATGTCCTGAGGCAACTGGCCCACTCAAGTCATTGCTAGTGCAGATTAGTATGACGCCTGGCCTGGCCGGTTAGAATCCTGGTAGGCCTGCCTCACCTCTGCCCACGTTTGTCTCACAAGCATCTGCTCCTCACTTCTTGCTTACTGGCCATGTGTCAGGGACTGGTTCATGAAGTGTATCTTGGGGGACTTCTGGAAGTTTCTGTGAGCCACAAGGTTTTTCTTCCCCTGGAATGTTCTAGTATCTTGATAAGCTCCCTGGAATTGCTATAGCCATCTCTCCACCAGCCTGATGAAGCCACCACTAATGATGGAGAAGAAAGGAAGAGTGTTTCCTTGACGAGCCACTGGATCAACCGTCTATATCAGGACTTCCTGCCATCTGAGACTGTATTTCCTGGTTGTTTAGGCTTGCTTGAGACAGGATGTCTGTAGGAGGCATTCAAGCCAAGTGATGTGGAAATTTCCCAACCATGTATTTTGGGAAGCAAAATGCTAGGTGAATGGAGAGAACATAGTCACATGTCACTTGGGTTACTGTACCTGGAGCTCTGTGAGGCTGACTCTAGCACTCAGGCTTGGGAACACTGTTCACAGCTGATGAGGTAACTTCTGGGGTTATCCCCACAAGTCTGTGCCTCCTGGCATTGGACCTCTACCAAGTCACATGGGATTCCTTCATGATAGAAAAGAATCTAATAAACACATCCCTGGGAATTTACTATTGGTTCCTGGACTAACCACTCTCAAAAATGCCTTGTTCATAATTGAGTAAAAGCAGAAACAGTAAATCCAAGCTCACTACTGGCGTTAGAAGGCAGGTAGCTGGACAAGATTGGTTTCAAAACACATTTCCCAGCAACTGATTACTTAGCCACATTTGCTTGGTGGCAATTCAAGATGCTTATTTGCCTGCAACTATTCCAAGATTGAAAAGGAAAATGAGTTTGTCATTTCTGTTCATCACTAATTCTACCTCCTGTTTGAGACTTCTGTAATAGACTTCTGTTACTACAATCAGAACTCTTATATAAAACTCCAGTGAGTATTCCAGGAGAAATTCCAACGGGGGGAGGTATGTTTACAGTAGTGAACATTAGTATAGGGCTTGAGGTATGAAAGTATAACACACTGCACTTACTAGCTAGATGATCCTGGGAAGTTATTCATCCCTGAACTTCAGTTTCCTGATCTGTAAGATGGGGATAATAACAGCACCTATTTCATAGTTAAGAATATTACATTAACACAAGTGAAACATTGGTATACTTCTGGCATGTACTATGTACTCAACAAATATTATTTATATGGGGGGTCCCCCTAAAAAAACTGGTCTTTTGGAGGGTGGGCTCCTTGTGGTACAGGCTTCCCCCACTGTTCTAGGAACCCATCTATATCAGTGTACCAGTTGGTGTTATTGTGAGAGGCTGTGTTTGGCTTCAGTGATTTTTTTTTTTTAAGACCCTTTCAGTGCATTTGCCCATTTCATGATGGGTGATTTATGAGTGTACCTGCCCACACTGTACTGAGTGTTGAGCAGTTTTTGAGCAAAATGGCATGTCCCTTGGTGTTCCACCCTCCCTATTCACCTGATCTTGCCCTGAGTGACTTTCTTGTTCCCTCGGATGAAAAAGGTCTTCAAAGGTAAATGTTTTGCTCATGTGAAATGGGTGAAACAAAAAATGGTAGAAGCACTAAAAGGCATCAAAATCAATGAGTTCAGAAATCTTTGAACAGTTGGGGGGGGGGAATCTCAATAGGTGTATTGCATCAAATGGAGAGTACTTTGAAGGTGACTGAAGTTAAACATGTAAGCATAAATATGCATTTTTTATAAATTCTGGTTTTATGGAGCCCCCCGTACATAATGTCTTCAAATTGGGATGGAAGGCTTAACACAGAAACCTTGTTTTTACTCACTCACATATTCTATTGGCTCCTGAAACATAAGATGCCCCCACTCCTTTATCTTTGTAGGAGTTCAATTTCAGACAACTGTCGCAAAGCTTTCGTCTGTATAACTGAATAATAAAAGCAATTTTAACTTGGGAGACAGGAAAGTAGAGTTTAATCTTCAAACTTGATTGACTTGGAAGCATTCCTGTCAATATAAAAGATCTTATTAGGGGTGGTACTGAAGCCAAGGCCAGTGCCAGAGCTGTACTTCCAGCTCATGGCCTGGTCCTGGTCCTGCTGCAGGCTTTGCTGCAGGGTGTTGGCAGCCTTCCTGTTGAGTGCCATGTTGGGCCTTCCAATCGTGTCAGGGGTGTGGCTGAATGAAGGGTACAGATTTTTAAAGCCACCCATAAGTTTGAGAAATTTCAGTTTCTGTTCCTCGTTGTCAAAACCAGTAGTATCCCATTGACCAAACTGAGTTCCCTGTATTAATGAGAAAAAAGGTGTTATTTTCCTCATTTTCAAATTGAGCAAGCCCTTTCCTTTCCCTAAAACCACTAACACAGGGAGGATCCAGCTGATTAAATGCTTGCTATGTACCAGACACTGTACTCATGAACACATATATCTTCTTTATTCTAACAAGAGCCATATGAGGAATATAAGGGGAACCCCCCTGAAAAATGGAATTATCTTTTGGAGGGCAGGCACCTTGTTGTACAGGCTTCCCCTGTTAGGTTAGTGTTCTAGGAACCCAGTATTGTGAAAGGCTGCATTTGACTTCAGTGAATTTTTTTCTTTAAGACTCAGCATATTTGCCCATTTCATGACGGGTGATTTACAAATGCACTTGCCCAAACTACACTGAGTGTTTAGCAGGTTTTGACTAGAAATGGCATGATCCCTCCATGTTCCACCTTCCCTATTCCCCCAGTCTAGCCCTGAACAACCCTTTTTTGTTACCCTGGATGAAAAAAGTCCTCAAAGGGAAACATTTTGTCAATGTGGAAGAGATAAAAAAAGCACTAAAAGGCATCGAAATTGATGAATTCTAAAACTGATTTTAGCAGTGGAAGAAAAAAAAATGCTATCTTGATAGGTGACTGAAGTTTAAATATGTAAGAATACACAGATTTTTTTATAAGTACCATTTTTGGGGGTCCCCCTTTTATTGTTGTTACTCTCATTTTACTGATAAGGAAATGGGAGATTTGAAGCTTAATAGGACACAACCCTAATTTAGTGACCCCACTACAACTGCATCTCAAGTCTGGCCACCATCAGAGTGCGTTTTTTACACTCTGAGCTGTCTGCCTTACTCCATTTCCTCTAATTCATGGCAATAGCATAGTACACCTCACCTCACCAGCTGGCCAGCCCATTCATCCTCCTAAGGTTTCTGTCAGCTGATGGTGGAAGAGGGCAGATGGCAATCTGAAATGCACTTCTCTTCTAAGAAGCATCCCACTTTATAGCAGGAAGGTAATAGAAGCCCAGAGAAGGGTCACACAGCCAAGCTACAGGCTGGGCCAGACCAGGAATTTAGGGTTCTGATTCCTGTCCAGAGCATTCTACCACCCATGCATTGATCATTCATGTTTAAAAAAATGCAAGAGAGCCGAGGCCCCTCAGAGCAGTGGCCTAAGAAAAGTCTCCATTCCAGTGTCTGAAGGAGAAGCAAGAAATGCAGCTCCCCAAACTATGACTGAAGTCATGCAGACCAGGATCAAAGAAAGAAATTAACTCAGGGCAAGCTCTGGCAGGGAGGGAGCTAGCTCCCAGGCTGGGGCAGACATTCCTGTCACTCAGCTCCTCATGCTTCAGGAAAGGGGGAAAGTCCAGGATACTAAGTACACAACCTCAAAGAGCTCCAGCATCAGACTTACTGCCCACTTTTGGGTTTCAGAAGCTTCTGTTTTGCCTGACTCACGATCAATCTCTTCTTGCAAAGCCTTTCGCCTCACCTGAGCAATGGGGAAGAAAGGAAAAAAAAAAAAGAAATGAGATACCAAGTTTTCCTTTAAGCTTAAAACCTAGAACAAAGATGGGGTAGGAGGACTGGCAGGTGACAGGAAAGAAAGCAGCTTCACTCTGCTGCAACCTAGGGCAGGCATTTGTTTAATGCAGCCTGTAAGCATCTTGAGGGCTGCAATACCTTGTCCTAAAAAGTGGGCAGGCCTCATTTATCCTTACTTAGCCATTCCTTAAGGATGTATTTTAAAGAGGTAGGTCCAAGACAGTGGCATAGGAGGATGCTGAACTAGCCCCTCCCAAGGGCATAGAGAATGTACACCTATACTTAAGAGCAATTCCTCCTGAGAAAAACTGAGGGCCAAATGAACAGCTTCTGCATAACAATCAAGAAAGAGAAAGACATAGAGAATGCTGGGGAACTGTGAAACCTCTCTGGGACCTGAGGGAACTCTCCAGGACAGGAGGAACTGGTGACTGCCACTGTTTACATTTCCCCTGCATATTGGGCAGGATCTCTATCCAGGTGATCTGGTTCACTGACAGGGCATCCATAGTGTAAACCCAGCAAAAAGCTCAAACAGGAAAAGGAAGACACTACAGTGTACATACAAGTGGGTGCACAACCTTGAGATTGGTCCAGCAGGTACATTAGGGTGCTGCTGCATGCAACCACTGGGTGGTCTGTGCATTCAGAGCTCCTCCTGGAGAGCAGAGCTAGCAAAATTCTGCAGTATTTGCTCACAGAGCTGCCCTGCTGAGAGAAAGTACAGAATAGTAGGGTGCTGGAGAGTGCAGAGCTAGCAAAACTCTGCTATTTGCTCTGTATTTGCTCGCAGTGCTACCCTGCCTGGAGATAGTATGGAACTAGCCGAGTGATACAGTGTGTGCACACAGGCTGCTCTGTCCAGAGAAAGTGCAGATCTAGTAGGGTGCTGCCATGTGCACACCAGAATAGCCCTGGTCAGACTCAGCTTGTGCAACAGACAACTAAATCATCAGCAAGTGCCATAGGCATACTGGGTAGCCCCACATAGCTCAGGAGGGCAAAGGAGCAGGCACGCACTAGGGTGCCCCACCAGGACCCCACACGTTCTGGCCAGGCAATACTCACTGTGCATACCCAACTTGACTAAAGCAAGCCTGCCAAAACAATCCAGCACACAGTCTACACAGAAGCCACTTTTTCAAGATTGGGAGGAAGAGCTATTTCATCTAACTCATAAAAATGAACACAAAGTGAAACAAAATGGGAGATAGAAAATATGTCCCAAATAAAGGAATGAGAAAAATTCTAATGAAACAGAGATAAGTAGTTTACCTGATAAAGAATTCAAAGAAACAGTCATAAGGATGCTCAATGAATTTCAGAGTAGAAAAAAAAACTCTGAACACTTTAAGAAATACTTTAAACTCAGAGATGGAGAATGTAATAATTGAAATCACTAATACATTAGAGGGGATTGACAGCAGAATGGTTAATATAGAAGAATGGATCAGCAAACAAGACCAAATAGTTGAAATAACTCAATGAGAACAGCAAAATGAAAAACAAAAAAGATTTTTAATATGCCCTGGCCAAGAGCTTAGTTGGTTAGAGAGTCATCCTGATACACCAAGGTTGAGGGGTCAATCTCCAGTAAGTGCACATACAAGAAGCAACCAATGAATGCATAAATAAGTGGAATAACAAGTTAATGTTTCTGTTTCTTTCTCTCCCCACTCACGCCTCTCTAAAGTCAATTTCAAAAAATTTAAATAAAAAAATTTTAAAAAATGAAAATAGTATTAAGGGACCTCTGGGACAAAATCAAGCACTTTAACATTCACATCTTAGGGATTACAGAAGGAGAAGAGAGAGAGAAAGAGGCAGGAAACATTTTTGAAAACATAATGGCTGAAAAGTTTCCTAATCTAGGGAAGGAAAGGGATATCCAGAACCACAAGGCAGAGAGTTCCAAAAAAGATGAACCCAAAGAGGCCCACACTAAGACATACTGTAATTAAAATGACAAAAGTTAAGGAAACAAAGACAATCTTGGAGGCAGCAAGAAGGAGACAGTAAAGTAAAAGAGAAACCAAAGAAGGTACCAGCTAATTTCCTAACAGGAACTTTATAGGATAGAAGGGACTATCAGGAAATATTTAAAGTGCAGAAAGAAAGGAATCTATAACCTAAAATACTATGCTGGCAGATCACCACTCAGAGCTGAAGGAGAAAGAATTTCCCAGACAAGCAAAACCCAAAGGAGTTAAACACCACTAAACCAACTTTACAAGAAACATTAAAGGGTCTTCTCTAAAGATTTTGTTTATTTTTAGAAAGAGGTGAAGAGAGGGAGAAAGGAACAGACACATCAATGTGAAAGAGAAACATCTATAAGTTGATTTCATATATGCCTCAACTGGGGACTGAACCTGCAAGCCAGGCATGTGCCCTGACCAGGGTTTGAACTAGCAACCTTTTGCCTGTGGGATGACACCCAATCAACTGAGCCACACTGGTCAAGACTAAAGGGTCTTCCTTATGCAGATAAAAACAGGCCATAACCAGATATAAGAAAATACAGGAAGGAAAAAAAAATCTCATTGCTAAAGACAAATATACAATAAATGCAGTAAATCAACCACTTAAAAAGCAAGTATGAAAGTTAAAAAACAAAAGTAGTAAAATTAACTTACAATAGTCATTAGATGCATAAAAAGACATAAAACATGTCAAAAACAAAGACTGCAGGAGGGAGTAAAAGTGCATTACTTTTAGAATGTGTCTGAACTTAAAAGCCTATCAGCTTAAAATGATTGCTACAAATAGATGAGAGAGAGAGAGTGAGAGAGAGAGAGAGAGTGTGTGTGTGTGTGTGTATAAAATATCCAACCCATGGTAACCACAAAACAAAAACCTATAAAAAAACTGAAAAAATAAAGAGAAAGAAACCCAAACAAAACACTGAAGTAAACCAGCATATTAGAGATAAAGAGAAGAACTAAACAGAGAACATAAAAAACAAAAGAACAATTAACAAAATGTCAATAAGCACATGCTTATAAAAAATTACTTTAAGTGTAAATGGACTAAATGTTCTCAAAAAACATAAGGTGGCAGAATGGAGTAGAATAAAAAAAGACCCATCTATATGCCAACTAAAATAGAATCACTTGAGATTGAAAGACACACAGACTGAAAATGGAGGTACGGCAAAAGATATTACATGCAAGTAGAAAGGAAATGAAATGAAAACTGGGATAGTAATACTCATATCCCACAAAATTACCTTGAAGACAAAGAATGTAAAAAAGACAAAGGCAGATACTACACAATGATAAAGGGGTCAATCCAAGAAGAGGATATAACAATTCTAAATATCTAGGTACCCAGTATAGGACCACCTAAGTATATAAATCAAATATTAATTGACATAAAGGCAAAAATTAACAGTAATACTATAATAGTTGGTTGGGAACCTTAATACCCCTACTTACTTCAACGGGTAGATCATCCAAAAATTTCATAAGGAAATAATAGCCTTAACAGATCAGATTAAAAGCAAGTTAAGCGACATTTACAGAACATTTAGTCCACAAAGAGCAGATTACACTTTTTCTCCAGTGCACATGGATCATTTTCTAGGATACAGCACATATTAGGCCACAAATTTCAATAAATTCAAGAAAAATTATATCAAGCATATTTTCTCACCACAATGGCATGAAACCAGAAATCAAATGCATGAAGAAAAATGAAAAACAGAAATTCATGGAGGTTAAACACCATGACACCAAACAACAAATGGATCAAAGAGGTAATCTAAAATACCTGGAGACAAATGAAAATAGAACTTTCAAAAGTTTATGGGAAGCAGCAAAAGCAGGACTAAGAGAGAAGTTAATTGCTGTATAGGCCTACAAAAAGAAACTCGAAACATCCTACGTTATCTAACTTGACACCTAAGGAACAAGAAAAAGAAAAACAAAACCCAAATTTTCAGAGTGAAATAAACAAAGACTAAAAATAGAAGGCTCAATGGCAGAGGAGTGAAGGGAAGCCACAGTAAACACCTCCCAGGACCAATAGCAAGAGATAAACCTTATAATCTCGGACAAACAGAAGAATCAGCTTCAGTACAACCTGTCTGGTCAGGAGTGTGGTGGAGACTCGAGAAGACTGGCCAGGTGCAAACAGACAGCAGCACTGGAGGGGTAATTAACGAACCAGTTGGATCCCCCTGAGAGGTGTGGAGTCTAAACCCTAGGCTGAGATTGCCAGCTTAGGGCACCAGAGCCCAAAAAGTAAACAGACAACAGTCATTGACCAGAAGTGGCAGGGTCGCACTCTGCTAGAGACAGATGGCTGGAGACACAAAGAGACATTTAAAGGGCCAACACACAAATTTTCATTTGCAGCCACCTACCCTGGGGTCTGGCAAAGGGAGGGGCAGAGTGGGCTGGAGACACCTGAGGAGACTGGGGACAGAGCTTTGGGGAGAGAACTGAGAAAGCAGCTGCTGGGATCCCAGTGCTGAGTTATCAGCCATATAGCAGCAGCCATCCTACTCAGGCAGACCACTCCCCTCTGAGTGGCAGCAGCCTTAGAAGAAAAAAAGCTCCAACTCCAGGAGGGATTCTGCACTGCCCTGTGGGGCTTAAGCCTGAACAGCTAGGTGAATAGTGACTAGATCAACAACCAAAGAAGTCACCCACAGAGAGTAGATCTCTGGCAAAGGTGGAGCGGAGTGCACTAGACACACTTGAGGAGACACTCAGGACAGAGGCTTTGGAGAGAGAACTGAGAAAGTAGCGGCTGGAATCCTGATGCTGAGTTGTCACCCACAGGGCAGCACCAATACTGCTCAGGTAGACCACTCCACTCCAAGCAACAACAGCCTGAAAGAAAACAAGAGCCCTAACCCCAGAGGAATTCTGTGTCACCCTATGGGGCTTAAGTCTAACTGCTCAGTGCAGGTTGAATAGATCAACAACAGAAGGAGACAGT